TTGTAGCTGAAAATCTTGCGGTACTTCATTGTACTGCTCTATCACTGTGTCGTGGTTGTTTTCCTCCTTGTTTTTCTTTGTTTTAAGCACTCATCCCTCTATGTCAACAGCGGAGGCGGGTTGCTTACGTCAGACCCCACCGAGTCTGCTTTTTTGAAGTTTCTTTTGTAGAAACAATAATAAAACGCGTTTTGGTAAAACAATGATTTTTTCTGTTTATTTTCTGTTTGCTCTTTGACTATTTGACGTGTGATTCTTCTCCGCGGCTATGAAAACTGAGAAGCTGGTGTGCAAATGTACCGCCCTCGACCATACATACTGATACAGGCTTTATTAGTTCATTCAACTGTTGTTTTTTTTAAAAAAATAGGTGAAGTGAAGAAAATTTATATAAGTGGTCGTGGTTGCAACTGTCGTTGACCCTCATTTATCCGTATGCAAATGACCAGTGGCTTGGCAGTGCCTCGAAAATATGAAGATGTCTTTGTAAGTGCACTTGCAAAAGGGTGATAGTGCGGAAGTCAGTGAAATCTATTCTGTAGTACCATCCAACATGTGCTGCTTAAATAGCGCTACACAAGAGCTCTAGATCCTCGCTGCATTCCGAGTAGTAAAAAACTGTGATGTGGATGTTAGGTATGAGTGTGCACGGCACTGTATTTGTAGAAGTTGGAACATTGCTTCGGGGTTTGTGCCCTGAGGGCACTGTGCTGAACACTTATCACCTCTCGGCCAGTCGGTCGGTCAGTCATTGGCCGTATCAAACTTGAAGTTTATTCTCACGAAGACTTTTTTCCGGACTGTTCAAATGTCTCATCGCGTTTATCTGCCCATTATTCCTTGACGTGCCTTAGGCGATTCTTGCTTTATGCAAGAAATGGACTGACTTGTCGAGTGCCAGGGAGTCACATCCGCCATTAGTTTACTTATAAGCAATTCTCGTAAGAGGGAGCCATCAAAAGCCTGACCAACGAATGATTGATGTTGACATTTGCCAACACAATATCTTTATCTGTCCTACACAGCGAATACGAAAGGGTTTTTTAAATAGACCTAATGTGTTTTTGCGTAATTGAGAATAGTTTGGTCAGCAACCATATTTTTTGAAGTGCATGTGTTTTTCATCAATATGCGTCTGTCAGTTAATTTTACTCGAGAAATGAGGGAGCATGGAAGCTAAAATGTCGGGAATACAACTCCGACCATGTCCCTGAGACCTTCAAACTGAGCTGATTTCAGAGCTATCTTCTCGACTTGGAATTATGATCAGTTCCCTAAGTTGAGAATGAACAAAATTGCGACTAGGAATCACGCAGTTTTAATTTATCGCGCTACAGGAGCTGTACTAGTGTAGTGATCACCGAGATCATCCAAATTGCTGGTGCGTGTATGTTGCAGGAACGAAGCGCGTTTGCATCAGATTTCAGTGATTTTATCAGAATTCACTAGCTCCCTTCTGCTGGCAGTCGGTGAACAAACACGGTTTGTCTGCTTCCATCGGTTTGCTGCTCGTCCAGGGCCATTTGAAAGGGCGCTTTGAAATTTTTTGCGAATGCTGGCATCGATTGGATGAATATCGCAGCTGGACAAGGATAAGCTCGCATTCTCTTTCATCTGTTTGAATTGCTTCGTTCTTGCATCGACAGCCTGAAATTTCATCGGTTCGGTGGGAATGAAAATATTTATTTAACATTAGATGTTAAAATAATTAATTAGGCTTAAGTAGGAGATAATTAGGCTTAAACGCACAGACACAAATACACAGAAGTACACACAAACACATCAACATACAAACACAAATACACACACAAAAATACAGACACACCCGGACATGCAAAACACAAACACACAAACTCGAACAAAACAAATTGACTTTTCGTGCTCCAAACTAAAGAAGTGTGCAAAGATTTGTTAAGAGGGGGAAAATTTGTTTGGGATTTTTATTTTAAATCTATCGCAACTATCGTACTGGCGAGGCTCCGTTGTGGCTCTGCTTTGGAATGTATGCGACTTAGTGGACCGAAACGTTTCAAATTAGTTACAGTTAATTTCATCTTCTTTCGATTTACTTCTTTCTTCATATTACTTTTCATGATTTTCACTACTACTTGTCATAATTTTGGCGTAAATTCATTAATGTTTATGCTCTAACACAATCAATCCTAAAGAAGTGCTGAAAAATTTGTTTAACAAAGGTCTCTTTTTCGCTCAATAATTTTGACTAGGAATCTTTTTCTTCAGCAAATTTTGGCGATGAACAGTGGACTGGAATGAAGGTCCAAAAAGTGAGGGAGGGCATTGTGAGAAATAAAGCACAGGCGTCGATGCGGAGGGTAACCTCTTGCGCAACCTGATAAAATCCTATACCATTCTCGGGAAGTTTCTGTGCAAATGTCGGTGACTGCATCACCAGCTACTCGCTTGTTCGTAATCTATTCGCTTACAAAGAGAGAAAAACTTTGTTCGTGACCTATTCGCTTATAAAGAAAATGCTCAGGGAGTGTCCGTATGAGGTCAACTGAAAGTCCGAAACATGTCTCTGTGTCCTATTTTCTCTGAATACTTCCAAAACGCGTTAGGCTGAAACTTTTCATTTCTGCACAGACAGGCCTCAAGAATACTAACAGCTTTTTTTGCGAAGCTTCAGCACTGTATTTGTGTGTGTTTGCATTTTTGTATGTTTTTGCGTGTTTGTGTTTGTATGCTTGCATATGCGTGCATATTTTTGTTGTTTGTTTGCGTGTGTGTTTGTGTGTGTGTTTGTGTGTGTGTGTGTGTGTGTGTTTGTGTGTGTGTGTAGCAGTTTAGACTTTGATTTGGTAAAATTTGATGTGTGTGCGTGTCTGTGTGGCGACTATCCAAAGTTTAATTTAATGAAATTTGATCTTTCCGTCTCGGTCGTTGTTTTATGCCTTAACCCTCCCGCCGTTCTGCCACCTGTCCGGGAGCATTTGACCAGTTTTATCTGGTGGTTTTAGTTAAGTATCGCTTTGTGACTGAGGCACCATTTCGGCATAGCATATAGGGACTCCTCCTTCTCAAACAACCATTGATACGTTCATTCCTGTTTTAAAAATTATGTGCTAACATTTGTTTTCATATGTGCTTCTGTTATGTGCAATAATGCTGAAAATCAGGTGACGGATGTGCTCATCGAAATTCTGCGCATAAAATAAGAAGCGAACAAATTTTTCACTCGCATAAAATTCTTTCCAGTTATTATAACACAACTTTTTTCTCATATTTCGCTTCATTTACTCTCCCTTCATTAACATAACCTCAAATTTCTTTTCCTGAATTTCAACAAATGCTACAGCTATTGTACTGGCGGAGTCTTTTAGTTGTGTGCTTATAATGAATCGAAACATTCCTTATCAGTTCCATTTTTCCCTTCGTTTCCACAAAAAAATTTTTTATCTTTTAAATTGGTTTTTCTCCCTTTCCTTTTTGTTAGCATTCCTTTTCATTAAAGTTATAAGCTAATTTTTACTGCATTTGTTAATAAGCCCATTACCTTTCTAATTACTTAAAATGCTCCAAATTCTAAGTGCTTTATTTGCCGTTTTTGACAGTGGAGAGTCAAGATTCTGAACCAGTGTGCGTGTTTTTGACTCATTTTGGAACCAGTTTCAGCACATTTAACACTTTAAATTTTGCTTCAGTCCGGTTATGTCTTTCAGTTCATGTTTCACTTTTTGCATTTTTCTCCAGGGCGGACGACTTCTGTTCCGCAGTTTTTCAGAACGGAAGCCATACGGCTTAAAGTTGCTCCATCGACCTCGCTTTCTCTCTCTTCGCCTATTACGAACGCATCTTTTTGCGAATAGCTATAAAATGGAAAGGAATCGAACCATTTGTCTTCACATCCGGACGCGAAGTGCTATGGTGCTATCAGCCTTTCTGCTCCACACAGTTACTGGAGCATATGGGTACCATAGTCCTAGCTATAATTTATCCTGTATGTGTAGCATGGTACTAGCTATAATTTCTCGATTCGTCTCTTCGTACTGGATTGCAGACTTTAATATTTTTACGCCCCACTTCGGCTGTCGACGTCAAGTTGTTCATTGTTGAAGTTTGTGCTGTCGAGCTCGGAATCTGTATACTTTGGTAAATCTTGCGTGAGCTACCTGTAAAATTGCTAGGTCGATAAGACTGAAGCTTTGGGTGCTAATAATTACACATCAGGCGTTCTCTTGTGCTCCGCTGGCATCCTTCCTTTGTTTCATCTTTTCACCAATAATTCATCAAAGCAGTCGTCGGAGTGTGAATTTTCGTATTGCTAAGGGCTTTCTCAATCTTTCAACGGCAGCTATCATCTGCTACTTACGGAGCTGTCATTAGTTATGAGCAAAATATGGGACCTTTTTTCTTATAGCGAATTCTGCTTTTGCTTGAAAGATCAAGAAAGTAGGGAAATGGTTGCTAAAAAGTTGGCTAAGCTGATTGTAGCATGCAGTTAGATGTTAGGAGCCTAGGAAGGGTAGGCATGGAGCGAATTAAATATGGCTGGATGTGGAAATAGAGTTAGTGTGAAAGAACTAAGTATGAATGAGTTAAGACGTTCTGGTCCATTAAGCCATTAAGTCTTAGCTCAACGCAGCGATTGGACCTCATCAGTATGACGGTCGTAGTGTTCAGAGATGAAAAAAGAGAAGGAATGAAAGGGAAGAAGATAGGAAGAGTTTTTACAGTCATATTAAATTTAGAATAGTTTGGAAAAGGTAAAAAAAGTTTCGCATTTTGCACGTGAAGTTTTTTCCATTTTCGGAGGAGAATCAGTAAAAACATACCCCTATGCCTTAAATTAAGCCTTATTTGGATAAAACCACTTTATCAAATCCCAGAAGTTGCAAGAATGCTTTTTTTGCGCCTTCGATCATGATGATGCTCCCTAGTCCTAAAAAGTCTTACTATCTCCAGTGTTTTTCCAGAGGTTCAATGTGGTTCTACAGTGGAGTGGTGGCAGTGTTTTTTCTTGCCCGGATGTGCCTGGCAGAATGGCCAGATCCTCGTGTCCGTACAAAGGGTGCTATTTGGCCAA